TGCTCTATTTGTACCACATGGTACAAAATACTGCTCACTGACTGATTACGCATTATATGAGCATGCTATACCACTGAGGTTATGTAGGTGGCGGTAGATAACTGCTTTTATTGAAACTATGTTGAGGATTTGACTCAAATAAAAATGATTAAAAAAAGATAACAAATGATTCGTGTAATTCACCAGAGTGCACTTTACCTTTCATGACCGGACTAGAATTACTTTTACCAGGAGGAACACGGCTTGTGAGGAAAATATACGGCCTTTTCCCTAAAACATAAAAGATAGAGATCGTGCCTTCAAAAGGAACACTCCAAATTTTGCCTAACACAAGGAACTGTGCAAGTCTCTTACTTAAAAGCTCAATGGATTTTGCATCCCTGCCCCCCGAGGCTGAGCCGTGATGGTGATGAAGTCACAAGGATTTCCCGCGAAAGTGCTGCAGAGTCAAGCGGCAGTAAAAGATATTGTTTGTGCTAAAACCGGACTCCTAGCATGATAACTGACTCTGCAAAAAAAAAGAGTACTAACAATTAAATATCATTTACTAGTCTTGACAATTTTCCCTGTGCGTAGCCTGCAGTTAGCGTATGCTCGTATATCTGTACTTAGATATTATCTGTTCCTCGTAGTCTCACTGTGCACATCTCATAGCACATCGGTGTCCGTGGGCAAATGTTCAAGTGTATTTTTGCGCCAAATGAAGGCTATTGCTTATGTCATCTCCCACAGCAATATGTTTTTGTTGACAACTCCCATCATTTGTCTAAATAAGAAGGAACATCAGCCCTCCTTTTATTGAAGATTGTGAGCTAAGTATAGCAAAATAGAGGATATCACGGACAGCCCAAGCCTGTAACATAAAAGAGAAACTAAGAATTTCCAGGGGACATAAGCTTCATGCAAAAAATGTTTCCGACAAATCGTACTGGAAAAAGAAGATAAATCAGCAGGATGGCAAGTGAGAGTTCTCCTCGGCCACCCTCCCTCCTTCACTTTTCGAATAGTCCGTCCGACTAACTTTATCTCTTTTCATGCCAGCAATCAGTGCTGTAACTACTTGGAAGTAGAATACGAAAGATGCCAAGCTTTGAGCCTGGAAAAGAAATAGAGAAAGATGTTTTCGTCTTTTCAGGAGTGTAGGACAAAGAAAAAATTCTGATTCCTCATGAGGAATCGACCTACAGCTAGTATCAACGTCTGCATACTGCTAGGATTTCTATCTCTTTGCCGAGCTCAAACCTGATCATCTTTCTTTTTCTGTTGACAAAACATGACGCTGACGAAACTGCTGATCCTAGCAGTATGTAGGACGCGTGTCATATATTAACTTCGTAATGGGCTTTGCTCAGCACAGAGTCTCTGTTGCTCAGTGGTAGAGGATAGGAGCGTGGAATGCAAAGGTCTGAGGTTCAATTCCTCAGAAGGACTCAGATTTTTATCTTTGTCCCACGCTCGTGACAAAACGAAAAAACGTCTTCCTCTACATGGAAGTGTTAGTTGTGTCTTACATGATGAAACGAAGACAAGTACCCATCTCAAAATAGAACCACTGGGGATGGTGCTTACAGTTGATATCAGGTTTTAGAACCAAATCATACTCATAATCCCGCACCTAAGAAATAAGATGTGTTGAAAAAGGCAAGTACGGTGGATCATTCATAGGCTCGTTCATTACTTCTTCACATTCACATGGTAAAACGAACAAATGAATCTCCCTCTCCATTCAGCCCCCATCTCTCCTCCCCTACTACCAAAACTAAACTATTAGTTTACATTGAAGTCAGGTAGCGTTTTAGAATGAAATATCATTCGTGTAAGTTATTTACCGTAAACTTCATTCAATCGGTTTTATCGTTTAACTATGCTAGACTCATTTTTCTCAATCGCTTTAAAGTGTTTTAAGTCTTTTTAACCAGCCATTTGTCCTCAGATCTTGTGCAACGTTTGTTTCTCTTGTTGCCGTTTATTTATTTTTTTTATTTGGTCAATTTCTTTATGTATAATGGTAGTACCTTACTATTTATAATTTCATTTTAGCCCGGACTGCTTCAATTGTTCACTTCAGTTCGCTTCGTTTCATTTGGTAGTTTATTAAAGAGTATGTTATTATTTCGACATTTATGAGTATCTTTGGCCGTCATAACTTGTGTTTGACAACCAATTTCACTTTCCTTTTACAATGATAGTTTTTCACACATACTTTACACAGCATTCATGAAGGCTCGGCACAAGGCTAAGGAAAAGTAAAGATTCGCGTTCTGGTGCCGACCAATACGTTTTTGATACCCCTCCTCCCCCAAACACGCACTAATGATAATTCCTCGTCAATAAGCCCTTGTCTCAAAGCCCCGGAGCCTTACGGTGTCTTTGGTATTGTCTAGTCATGAATTGTTCGCAATTGGAGAGTCAAAATGTCAAACATTGACAAAATTTTCAATTCTACGATTGAAGCACCTAAAAATACAGCAAATAACTGAATAGCCTTGCGTAGATTGCCACTCTCAAACTGTGATTCAAACTTCAGTGGTCTGGCTGTCTCTTTAGGAGATGATCTTTCTCCTTCAGATATGCTGCAAAATGAAAACAAATTTACCGGTTGATTTTTTACAACTTAAGATCAGTAAGTAAGTTCTCCATGCTGTTCTCTATTTATTCCTCATGGTACCTACAGGGAGAATTTCTTTAACAATCAAGATCTTGAGTTTGCGATCGTTTCCTTTAATTTGATGACCTTAATGTTTGATTCAGAGTGATACTGTTGGGAAAATCAGATGCGTATCGTTCTTAAGCTCTGTTCAAACGGTCACGATGGTTGATTACAGTCGATGATACTTTCAACTTTCATTCACTATCATTAACTATCATGTTTGCGTTCAAACGGGTTATGATAATTGACAAAGTCATGCGATGAGATCGCGTTTTGTAAACAAATATTGTGTACTCTGAGGTTGGAAATTTTGGTGGCAAATGAAATTTTAGTCATGAGGATGCGAGTTGAAGATACTGAGCCTACCAGAATATGATGAGAATAAACTACGACATTCTGTGAAATTATCATCAACTATCATGTCGAATTTGAACATTCCAAACTACATGATACTTGATGATAGTCGATGAAAGTGCATGATGATTCGTTTTCAAATGCGCGTGATAGTTGAAACTATCAATAACTACCATGGCCGTTTGGGTTAGTCTCTCATATACCGGGTTCTGAAATAACGGATAGTCTCTCATATACCGGGTTCTGAAATAACTAATAATTAACAGATAGGTGTAGCAGAAGTGAGTGGGTATAGAGGATCAGTGAACAATGAGCATAAAAGACCAGAGGAACAGTGGGCACCGCAGACCAGTGGCACAATGGGTGCAGAACCACTTATACAGTGGGTAAAGAGGACCAGAGGAACAGTGGGCAGAGAGGTCCAGTGAAACAGTGGGAACAGAGGACCAGAGCAACAGTGGGCACAGAGGACCATTGGAACAGTGGGTATAGAGGACCCGAAGAACAGTGGGCACAGAGGACCAGTGAAACAGTGGGTACAGAAGACCAGAGGAACAGTGGGCATAGAGGACTAGTGGAACAGTGGGTATGGAGGACCAGTGGGTACAAAGGACCAGTGGATCAGTGGGTAAAGAGGACCAGTGGAAACAGAGGACGAGAAAAACAGTGGGAACAGAGGAACAGTTGCACAATGGGTGCAGATGACCAGTGGAACAGTGGGTACAGAGGACCAGAGAAACAGTGGACACAGAGGACCAGTGGAACAGTGGGAACAGAGGACCAGAGGAACAGTAGGCACAGATGACCGTTGGAACAGTGGGTACAGAGGACCAGAGGAACAGTGGGCACAGAGGACCAGTGGAACAGTGGGTACAGAAGACCAGAGGAACAGTGGGCATAGAGGACCAGTAGAACAGTGGGCACAGACAACCAGTGGAACGGTGGGTATGGAGGACCAGTGGGTACAAAGGACCAGAGGAACAATGGGTAAAGAGGACCAGTGGAAACAGAGGACGAGAGAAACAGTGGGAACAGGGGAACAGTGGGTACAGAGGACCAGAGGAACAGTGGGTACAGAGGACCAGAGGAACAGTGAGACCAGAGGAACAGTGGGCACAAAGGATCAGTGGGTATAGAGGACGAGAGGAAAAGTGGGAACAGAGGAACAGTGGGCACAGAGGACAAGAGGAACAGCGGGAACATAGGAACAGTGGGCACAGAGGACCAGAGGAACAGTGGCTACAGAGGACCAGTGGGTACGGAGGACAGTGGGTACAGAGGACCAGTGGGTACAGAGGACCAGAGGAGCAGTGGGCACAGAGGATTAGTAATTACAGAGGACCAGAGGTACAGTAGGGACAGAGGAGCAAAGGGAACAGAGGAACAGTGGGAACAGTGTATCAGAGGAACAGTGGGTACAGATGACTAGAGGAACAGGGGGTACAAAAGACCAGTGGAAAAGTGAGTACAGAGGGCTAGAGGAACCTTTTCTCAAGTTTCTTTAAAAAATTATCTAGAACTTGTGATATATTACAGCTTAATAGAGAAACAAGATCTATTCATTTTCGAAATGACTGTTTGTCATATGCGCAACAGTGACAAAAATTCAACAAAGCATTCAAAAATGTATCGCATTCCTCAGCACGTTTGATGTTGTTCACTTCTTTGAGGAACATAGTTCAATTTGTCGTTTGAATAATGCCGCTATAATGGCTGTGTCTTGATCATGAGCTGCAATGGCTCGCTTGATTTGTTCTTATGATTTTTTCTGAGCAGTAACGGCTTAGGTTCTCGGGTGCAACTGATAGATTGAACAAGATTGTAGTGGGTCAGCAGAGAGGAAGTATTGAGTTCCTTCCCGCTTGCAAGGGACAGTTGTATAAGTTCTTCAAGAACAAAGAACTCCTCCCTCGCCACTGCTCCCTCTCGTGGCGGTTCTCCTTTCATATGGAGGTAGGCTTGCGAGGTATGCCTTTTTAAGTTTTGGCTTTAAACCTAAACTCAGCCTTTTAGAGTTGTGACTGAAAGGAAAAAAACATTAAATACAGTACAGAAACACAAGGTTCAGAGTTGGAAAATGATTCGCTACCTTATAGAAATAACTTTAAATGCACCCTTGGGATTTCAACAATTTTGGGTGTCTTCTAACATTGTCCCATCTGGTTTCTTCATGTCCTCTGTTCCCACTTTTGCTCTGGTCCTCTGTACCCACTGGTCCTCTGATCCCACTGTTCCTCTGTACCAATTGGTCTTCTGTACCCACTGTTCCTTTGCTCCTCTGTACCCACTGGTCCTCTGTGCCCACTGTTCCTCTAGTCCTCTGTACCCACTGGTCCTCCCTTCCCACTGTTCCTCTGGTACTCTGTTCCCACTGGTCCTCTGTTCCTTCCGTTCCTCTGATCTTCTGTTCCCACTGTTCCTCTCATCCTCTGTACCCTCCGGTCCTCTGTTCCCACTGGTCCTCTAGTCCATTGTTCCCACTATTCCTCTGGTCCTCTATTCACATTGCTCCTCTGGTCCTCTGTACCCACTGTTCCTCTGGTCCTCTCTACCCTCTGGTCCTCTGTTTCCACTGTTCCTCAGGTCCTTTGTTCCCACTGTTCCTCTCGTCCTCTGTTCCCACTGGTCCTCTATTCCTACCGTTCCTCTCCTCCCCTGTTCCCACTGTTCCTCTGATCCTCTGTACCCTCTGGTCTTCTGTTCCCACTGTTCCTCTGGTCCTCTGTTCCCACTGGTCCTCTGTACCCACTGGTCCTCTGGTCCTCTGGTCCTCTGTTCCAACTGTTCCTCTGGTCCTCTGTGCCCACTGGTCCTCTAGTCCTCTGTACCTACTGATCCAGTGGGCCCACTGTTTCTCTGGTCCTTTTTTCCCACTGTTCCTCTGTTCTCACTATTTCTCTTGTCCGTCCTCTGTTCCCACTGGTCCCCTGTACCAACTAGTCCTCTCACCCACTGTTCCTCAGGTCCACTGTGCCCAATGGTCCTCTTACCCACTGTTCCTCATGTCCTCTGCACCCACTGGTCCTCTGTGTCCTCTGGTCATCTATAGCTACTAGTCCTCTGGTCCTCTGAACCCACCGGAACAGAGGATCAGAGGACCAGAACGTACAGAGGACCAGAGGAACAGTGTGAACAGAGGAGAAGTGGGTACAGAGGACCAGAGGCAAATACCTAAATATATCAACCTTCGCAACCTAATAATCGGAGCTTCTTTCTGATCCTTTTTTCCCATGTTCCGCACTATTCTCCCAATCCCCTACATCCAAACCTCCTCTAGCCCTCTGTACTCACTTTTCCACTGGTCTTCTGTACCCCCTGTTCCTCTGGTCATCTGTACCCACTGTTCCTCTGCTTCTCTCTGCCCACTGTTCCTCTTTTCCCTTTGATCCTCTGTACCCACTGGTCCTCCGTAGCCGCTGTTCCTCTGTACCCACTGGTCCTCTGTACCCACTGTTCCTCTGGTCCTCTGTACCCACTGTTCCTCTAGTCCTCTGTACCAACTGTTCCTCTTTCCCCACTGTTCCTCTCCTCCTCTGTCCCCACTGTTCTTCGCCTCCTCTGTACCCACCGATCCTCTGTACCCACTGATGCTTTCACCCACTGTTTCTCTGATCCTCTGTGCCCACTGTTCTTCTGTTCTCACTGTTCCTCTTGTCCTCTGTACCCACTGGTCCTCTGTGCCCACTGTTTATCTGGTGTCATTGTTCCTCTGGTCCCCTGTACTCATTGTTACTCTGGTCCTCCGTACCCACTCTTCCTCTGGTCCTCTGTACCCACTGTTCCTCTGTTCCCACTGTTGCTCTCGTCCTCTGTTTCCACTGGTCCTCTTTAGTTTCTGTTCCTCTGGTCCCTTGTACCCACTGGTCCTCCATACCCACTGTTCCACCGCTTGTCTGTACCCACTGTTCCACTGGTCCTCTATGCCCACTGTTCCTCTGGTCCTCTGTTCCCACTGTTCCACTGGTCTTCTGTGCCCACTGTTCCTCTGGTCCTCTGTACCCACTATTCCACTGGTCCTCTGTGCCCACTGTTCCTCTGGTTCGCTGTTCCCACTGTTCCACTGGTCCTCTGTGCCCACTGTTGCTCTGGTCCTCCGTACCCACTGTTTTACTGTTCCTCTTGTCCTCTGTGCCCACTGTTCCACTGGTCCTCTGCACCCATTGTGCCACTGGTTTGTGGTGCCCACTGTTCCTTTGGTCCTTTATGCTCATTGTTCACTGGTCCTCTGTACCCACTCACTTTACCCTTCTGCTACACCTATCTGTTAATTATTAGTTATTTCAGAACCCGGTATATGAGAGACTAACCAGCCATGGTAGTTGATGATAGTTTCAACTATCACTCTAACAAATGCTTCTGCTGTCATCGTAGATGCCATGGCACAACTGCAAACCCTACCTAGAATACCAGATCGTTTCATTGACCTTGCAGATATTATCCTCAGTGCAGTAATCAAGCAAGCGGGAGAAGCAAGGTGGATAGAATTTTTAGCAGATCAGTACCCAAGCGTCTCAATAAAAAAATATTGAGCGTGAGAAGCGGGGGAAATCAGGACAGTTAGCTGTCCAGATTAGAAGTCCACAACAGCTCTGTCCGCGACTGTGGAAAAAGTTCCTTGCTAATGGTTTGAACAAAACCAACCTTTTGGAATTCCTTGCAGATGTGTGGGGGACCGACCAGCGCTTTGCCAAGAAGATCGGAAAAAGAACGCTGTTTGTTACTCATGGGGAGAGTTGCTCCAAGATAAGCGTTGATGCTCAAGGTAGCATTTCCTCCAGTATTGTGCTCGAACTCTGCAGCAACCAAGAAGAGGCAGATACCCGAATGTTTCTGCATGCCTTGCATGCCTCTGATGCGGCCCATCAACAGATCTTAATCAAGTCATCGGACACTGATGTAGAAGTATTGGCGTGCTACTTTCGAGAGTACATAAGTGTTGACATCTTTCTTCTTAGAGGCACAAAAAGTCGAGCTCGTGTCATTAATGTCATCCAATGTCTCCTTTTGCTGGAAAGGGGAAAAAGGCGGCTCTTGGTATCGTAAAAGCTGACGAAGACAGCAGAGCAAGTATCCATAGAATCGGCGAGCGTGTCCCACCAATGAGAGAAGATCTTAGAAAAACGGAGAAATTCGTTTGTTCACTTTACAATGACGTTAACTGTTATAAGGTCAACGATACGAGATACAAGTTATTCTGCAAAAACCAGAATCTACAGTCGTACCAGCTTCCTCCCACCCATGCTGCCCTACAGAAGCATCTACAACGCGCAAACTACCAAGCTTATGTTTGGAAACATGCACTGGATGCAAGAATTCTAAACCAAGGACCAGATGGACAAGGATGGCGAGTTAGAGGAGAGGCGCTGGAGATCGACTGGACCGACCTCGCGCCGGCCCCAGAATCTGTAATGGAGCTAGTGTGCTGTGGCTGCAGAGGAAAGTGTGAAACCTGTAGGTGCTCTTGCGTCAAGAACGAACTCCACTGCACAGATGTATGTTCTTGTGGAGAAGAATGTGTCAACTGTGACAACAGTCAATTCGGCGTTGATGAGGACGACTCCACCAGTTGTGAGGAAGAAGATGACCTGTAAAAGTTACCTCAAGCTATACCGTATTACGGTTGTGACAAATTTCTCGAAAAGTTTTTTTGAAATCTAACATCAATGAAGATTAGATACGAAGAACGTTGCCAGCGTTGCTATGGAAACATGCAATGCCAATAGCATTGCTTTATTAGTAATAGGCATTGCTTTATCGAAATGTATAATGATAACCTTTCTATTGCTCAATAAAGTGGGATGCATTGCTCAATAAAGAGATGATTGGTTTTCCTTTTTGTTTTTGCTCGGCTTTTACCAGTTGTGGCCCCAACTCCAGAGGAATGCCACTCATCCTTGCTTTCCTGCAATAGCCATTTTCCAGACATTGTTGCATCTTTGGGACATCCTCAATAGAATTAAGGTGTCTCAGAGCAAACGCTCTTACTGTAGAATACTTTTATGGGCGTTTTGTCAAGTTAAATATATAAAATTTCATTTTTTATTCGAAAAACCACATATTTTCATAACCAAGCAGTATTTGACTGGTGCCTATTGCCATGGAAACCAAAAACCTTAAGTCTGATAACACATTTGGATAGCTTATGATACAACAACTATATCTTGCAAATTTGAACCCATTTGGTTGATGTTTGTTAGAGGTATGAACCATTTTTCTCCTCATCACGACAATAGTAAGCAAATTCTCCTCACCCCACCCCCCATGGAAACAGCCCAATATCTCATTACAGCACACGTTACCGGTTTGAAAACAAGTAGATTCTAAAAATATAGGTCATAAGCTTTAATTTGATACCAAATTCACTATGTCCCATGGGGGGTGCTACGAGGCATAACTTTTAGGCCCCTTGGCTCATGGACTATGTGGCCTTTTCCTCGATTTCTCAAAGGTATTTGATACAGTTAACCATGATATTCTGCTCTCTAAATTATATACTTATGAAATCCTTAGAACCCCATTTAAATATTTTAAAAGCTACTTATGTAATCTCACTCAATTTGTAAAGATTGATGACATCGAATCCAGTATCGAAACTATTACATGTGGAGTTCTTCAGGGTTCAACGCTCGGGCCATTGTTATTCTTGCGTAATATTAATGATTTACCAAACTCCTCTGAGAAGCTTTCTCTTAGAACATTTGCTTGATACTAAGATTTTCTTTACCGGTAGTAATCCAAACGAGGTTGAATTTACAATGAATGAAGAGATTAAGTTAGTTTTAAAATACTGTGCTATTAATAAGTTATCTGAAAATTTTAAGAAAACTAATTATATGTTAATAACATCATCAAAGAAAAAAATACATTTAAATATCCACAATATTGATTGCAAAAGCTATATTAGGTATCTAGGTATGTACCTTAATGAGCATCTACAGTGAGAACCTCGAATTCTGTTGTTATTATGTGTATTATGATTTGACCGTTCTTATTTGAATTTAATATATTTCACGGGAAATGTTAATTTGACTTAAGATTAGTTCAGGTGTTTCTTTTCCTTTCGTTATTCAAACTTTTTTTTAAAATGAGCATATATATTTTTTGTTTTTCTCTCTGTGTTGTAACCGTCTTTTTCGTGTGAGCGGAATAAAAGAAGCAAAAGTTCGTTTTCAATGGTGTAAAATTATTAGGTTATGGGCCCAGGAGTGCGTGAATGAGACATGGAGGAAAAGTGGTCGAACGACAAACTCAACGGGAGCAATTGGAACACTTGGAAATTTCAAATGAAACATTTACTGCTGGCGAGAGGATTATGGGGCTTGGTAGAAGGATCAGAAGTCTTCGCAAACGATGCCACGACAACGGCATAAACACTTTACCGATCGAGGCTACAAAAGGCGTTCTCGACAATTGTGTTGGCGATTGACAGCGCTCAGCTTTACTTGATCACGTCAAGCGAAGAACTAAAGCAAGCGTGGGATGGGTTGAGGAAACATTTTGAACAAGAGACACTCGCGAACAAACTATTTTTAAAGAAGAGAAATTTTCGTTCCGAGATGAAAGAAGGTACTCCGGTTGAACAACATTTGAAGCTCATGAAAGATATCACCGATAAACTTGCGGCAATTGGGGCGCCCATTTCCGAAGAGGATCAAGTTGCGACTTTGTTAGGAAGTTTGCCGAGAAGTTTCGTGACCCTTGTCATCGCTATCGAAGCAAGAGTAGATGTAGTTAGCCTGAGTTATGTCCAGCAAGCACTCATTCACGAAGAAATGAAGCAGTCTGGGCTATCCGGTCAGTTGAATGAAGCTGAATCAGCACTGACGAGGGCCTTTAGGAAAGATACGCCACGCGATCGGCCAACATGTTTTGGATGTGGTGCTGTGGGTCATGTTCGCCGTTATTGTCCTGAGAAATTTAAACGGCACAAAGCAAAAAAATAGTCGACAGTGACGAGCGCTGACCGAAAAAGTCTGGCTTCGAAGGTGAAGATGTCTAAGCTACTACGTTTATGGCGTCTGTTGAGAGCGTGGAGTCTACAAACAAAAATTATTGTCCATGGGTTATCGACTCGGGTGCAACAAGTCATATGACGACAGAAAAGCGCGTTTTGGTGAATTTTCAGGAATTTGCCGAGCCTGAAAATGTTGCGCTGGGTGATGGTCGTGTTGTGAAAGCGTTGGGATCGGGGAGTGTACGAATGAATATGCTGTTTCAAGCAATGGAGTCCAAGAGAGCAGTTTTATATGATATCCTGTACGTGCCTAAACTCATTTGGAACCTTTTTTGCAGTTTCTAAAGGCAACTCCGTAGAGTCTGGTCCCCAAAAATGTTGTATTCGGGATAGAACTGGAAAGCTTCGTGGAATGGGGTCACTGGTTGATAAACTCTATCCACTAGACTGTCAAGTTGCAATCACTACGGACACTGCGTACGTCTCAGTTGAGTCATCTCAAGGTAGCGACTTATGGCATCAACGTCTTGGACACGTACACGAGCTACGCCTCAAGAAATGTGTGGAGAGTGAATCTGTACGAGGGATTAACATCAAGAAAATTACCGAACTGTCCTTCTGCGAAGGATGTTTGGCAGGAATGATGTGTAGAAAACCGTTCCCCGCTGTGGGAGAGATCCACTCGACGCGAAGACTACAGCTGGTGCACAGTGAAGTCTGCGATCCAATGCGCACGCCATCGATTGAAGCAGCAAAGTATTTTGTTACGTTTATTGATGATTACACTAGGTGCTGTGCTATACACTTCATGAAACACAAGTCAGAGGTTTTTAGAGAAATATATAGAATTTGAAGCCTCAGGAACTTTACGAACCGATAACGGCGGCGAGTATTTGTCTACTGAATTACAGAACTATTTGAAGGAGAAAGGAATTAGACATGAGCTGACATTACCACACTCACCCCAACAGAACGGTGTAGCAGAAAGAATGAATCGGACTTTGGTCGAGTCGGCACGTTCAATGATCGTGCATGCGGCATTATCGGACATCTTTTGGGCTGAAGCCGTTTTTGCAACTGCCTATGCGGGAAACCGCCTTCCCACGACGGCGCTAAAAGAGAATGAAACTCTTTATAAGCGTGGTATGGAAGGAAATCAGATGTGGGCCACTTACGTGTATTTGGGTGTATTACCTTTGCCCGCGTACCAGACAGTGAACGACGAAAGCTTGACAAGAAATCGAGGAAGATGCGATTCGTGGGCTACAGCTTAACGTCAAAGGAATATCGT